CCAAAGTCTCAGAATGGGACTGGGAACGCAGCCCAGCAAAAGGGAAATGCCAACAGCAGTCCTGCAACTCTCATAGGTAGAAAGCTCTCTGTAAAAGCTGACTTTTATCCCATAGTACACATGCAAAATGCAACCTTCCTGAAGTCAAACTGCCCGTAATGCTTTAAAATTACAAAGTTCCTTGGGGAGTCCACATTTATAACACTACTGTTGTCCAACTTAATCAGGTTTTGTACCAGTTAGCCTTCTATAGTTTGGTTACACAGTCTATATAAAATGCACTTGTAAGGTATCTAACAGGCATCTCTGCTTGTAAAACGTGACATCTCAGGTCCTAATACACAAAGCAGGCACTGAGACTGACCCAAGTATTTCCTAAGGAAGATGTACTGTCTATCAAACCAACACATAATACCCTGGTGATACCGGTGATCCGAGTATAAAAAGCTTTTTAGAGGTTGCACTTCACAAATGTGGCCTTGCTTTGCTCTGTAAAACACTCATAATATTTGAAGTGACTTTTACAGGAAAATTTTCATCGCTGGGAGAAATAGGTGTGCTCTTCTGAGGTTCCTCATTGCTATATAAAATTTATAATTGCAATCTCATCCCCTTATTTCCTATATATAATGTTTAATAAATTCATCTTTTGCCTGGTCAGTGTTCAAGTGCAGTTCTAAGTGAATGAGTGAGTATCTTTATTTCTGGAAGTAAGGATTTGAAAGGTGTTTTAGCCTTTGCCAATAGCTTTTCTCCAACTCTGTTATTGACAACACATGAAGTATTATTACTGTTCTCAATGTCTACACTTTGTGAAATACTAAAAAAAAATTAAAAAGCTAAAAGGAAGCAAAGGAAAGCAAAGGAAATTGGGCTGAAGCAGATACTTTAATAATATTCCACAGAAATATTGAAATGAGGACCCTACAAGACACAAAATTATTGGCTGTCATAATGTCACAGAATACTGCAGAGACAACAATTCACCCAGGCTCAACAGCAACAACAACAAAAAAATTAACCATGGTATTTAAACATATGACTTAACTTTAAATGCACATATAATACCTTTAAATAGTTCAAACATCCCAAACTCTATGAGTCAGGCAAGGATTTAGACATGTGAAATAGACATCACCCTTGCCATATGATACCTTCTGTACTAGAATCTTTAGGGTTACCGAAAATCATATGCTCAGCTGAGGCTGACAGGAAGCAGATCTCACTGTCCATACACAGCTGATTCATGGTCAATGAGTAAACATGTAACAGGCAGCACTAAGTTAAAATTTATCAAAACCTGAAGGCCACATCACTATTCATTTTTAATGAATGATGCTTCTCCATCCATCTCTTCTGAAAAAGCTCAGCTTACATAACAGGTTATTTTGTGAATCTTATTGGAAAAAATAATTAATTAGTCAGTCACAACCTGAGGTACTCCTGAGTATACATAAGAACTGCAGAATTTATCTCAAAATACCCACAAACTTTGGGAGAAGTTGAGCTGGAATTATATCACACTTTCTGAAAGCAATTCCTTTATTCCAATAAGGTACAATTTCCTGGCATCATTGAAAGTGTCACTGATCAAAACATTTCTCAAGGTCATAAGAGGCCTCTTGCTTTCCAACTGGTATGTGAAATAATTCAGTTGTGATCTATTTGAAGACTTCATTTTTATAGTGAGTAATGGATATGGTTACAAAGTATCAGTTAAAAGCAGCTAAAATCTATTTTGATTCAGAAAAAAATTACATTTTGAGAGAGAGAATTTATGTTGTGACTTCTCTCTTCCTACTTTCTTTACCTCCCACTATCCTCCACATCTACACAGTAAGAGCTATTTGATAATTTTTAGGTTCCCTTTTGTGTAATTATTATGTTAGCCCAGCCAAAACATCAAACATTTTCTCAGTAAGGAAAAAAAAATGCTTCTATAGAAAATGGTTAAAGTACTTCCTGGAAATGGCAGTCAGAAATAAGAGGGGAGGGGGCAGAAGCGAGCTCTTGAAAGCCAGGCAGAAATGGCTTTCACAGAGAATGAAACTAATTGAGCTTTTCCATTCTGTTTTACTGACACTTCTGCAGAGTGACTCAGATGATTAAGGCTACGTGCTCAATCTGTTTTGACAGAACCTAAGTTATCTGGAATCACATGTATTATGTGTGTATGGGTGAGAATGAGATAGGGAGGAAGGGAAACTGTGGACATATACACATGGTGCTTTATCTTCCCGTTGGTGTTTCAGTCTTAGTAAACTGAATCTTAGAATCATGGAATTATAGAGTGGCCTGGGCTGGAGGGGTCCTTAAAAGTCGTCTTATCAAAATTAGTTATGTGCAGTTTCACAGCCAGTTGGAAGTCTGCTAGTGTATTGACCAGGGCTGTGGGCAGCCCTGTGGTCAGCACAGCTCCCTCCCACAGGGTGGGAGGCATTAATCTGAGAAAAAAATCTCAGGAACAGGTATACTCAGGCACTCTTTAGAAATATGGACAATTCAAAAGTCATTTTGAGACAAAGCTGAGGACTTGTGAATCAGAGCAGGAAGATGGTGTATATGAACAGAGATTGGATACACAAAAATCTTCATAGAAGCCCACAATTGCATTATTTAGTTCTGCTCCTGAATAAACATTTTCTATCTTGCTTCAGTAGACACATGGTTTTGCTCATTTTCTTGTTAACATGTATAGTAGACTGTTCAATATACTTCCTAAAAACTGATTTACACTTCCAAATATGAGTCATAAACCAGCTTGCTTCTATTATATCTGTTTTATGAACAGAACATGTCATACTAAACAGGGCTAAGACCAGGAAAGAACCTCTTTGAATGTATAACTGTTATCAGACCCAGCATTCCTGTCTCCAAGCAATTGACTATGATTACTAATTAAAAGTAGAAAAACTATTGCTTTATTTCACCTAATGAATTTGAATCCTGAATGCAGTTTTGGTTACAACAACATAAGATATAAAGTTATTATATAGCATCCAAAGGAGGGCAACAAAGATGGTGAAGGGCCTTGAGGAGAAGCTGTATGAGGAGCAGCTGACACCACTTGGTCTGTTCAGCCTGGAGGAGACTGAGGGCAGACCTCATTGCAGTCACAACTTGTGGGGGGAAGAGGAGGGGCAGGCACTGATCTCTTCTCTGTGGTAACCAGCGACAGGAGCCATGGAGATGGCCTGAAGCTGTGTCAGAGGAGGTTTAGGTAGCAAAAGGTTTGTCACCCAGAGGATTGCTGAGAAACTGGAACAGGCTCCCCAGGGAAGTAGTCACAGTGCCAACCTCACAGAGTTCAGGAAGTGTGTGGACAATGCACATGGTGTGGCTTTTGGGGATGGTCCTGAGCAGGGCCAAGAGTTGAACTCGGTGATCCTTTATCTTTTCCAACTCAGTATATTCTGTGATTTTATGATTTTTGTTTTGCAAATGTCAGTTAAGCAACTGAAACATGGTGGGTGATTGAAATGACAGCAGGAAAAACACTTTCTGGTTAAAAATTTATTTAAGAACAAAAGACACACATCTCCTTGTCTTTCTTCTCATTAATCATTTACTGTGGATAAGAAAACTTTCTAAGCAATTGAAATTGAATTTTTAATGAATAAAAAAAAAAAAAATATTCTCCAGAATGCAGTAGGTAAAAACCATTATAAAGAGATAATCACAAACCATAGATTAGTAATAAAGGCTTCATTGTATCACCTATCAATTTAATACTTGCCACTGTTGCAAACTATCTAAAATAGAAGTTTGATGATTCTGGGGCCACTATATTGATATTAATGCAATTTAGGTTGCTATTGACATTCATAAAATTACAACCAGTGAGACGAAACATACTGAGATCAAACCAAATTCTCAGCTAGACTGGTCATTTCAGGTGTTGGTTTTGTATCTTCCTCGGCTTAAAAATTTCACCTGTAGTTTTATTTTTTATTACATCATTCCTAGAAAGAATAGAAATTATGAGATGACTATATTGGTTTTCAGTCTATGTTTAATGAAAGGTAGTTACTAGGATTTTCAGATAAATGAAAAATGCAAAAAAGGATTTTTTTTTTGTTATGTAACAACCTAGGGAGCGAGTATCAGGCAATGAATAAATTATTTGTTTTGGAGTACATTATAAAATGTATAAATAAAATGGGGAACAAGGAAATCTCTCTGTACTTAGTTATGCTATATAGTATAAGCTTAGTTATACTACCTTTGTAGCCTGGTGTCCAACCTAATTTTACATTAAATGTTTCTGTGTCCACAAGAGTTTAATACTAAAGACATACATCATTCTTTGGAAGACAAAAGGTAGTAAAAATTAAAATCAGCACATGTATTTTACTTTTCTGTTTAAATAGTGACAATAATTGCAATAATCACAAGTTCTGCAACCATAGCCATGCAGCATCCAATGACAGCATCTTTAAAGTGTTCCTTTAGTACCCAAATGTAGACATAGGTTTTCACTAATGCTGTGGACTGAGTAAGATTTTATTTTAAGGGAAGCAGCACCATCTATTGCAACCTGATAGCTCAGCTCTAGATGATATAAAGACAGACTTGGCCTGAGCCCAGCTTTCAACTCTTTCTTGCAGGCACTTTTATAAATTTGTCCTTGTCAAGCTTCAAATGAGATTACAATCTCACTTGGTGAGATATGGTGGTACAGGGACAGGGCTGTGTTCCATGCATGCACATGTCCTAATAAAAAGTCACATCTAAGAGACATAACTGTTTACAAAACAAGATAATATAATAGCATAAGCCTAGTCCTGAATAACTGTTGCTTTTAAATTACTTCACTGGATTTTTCATTTCTGAAGTGGGAGGATAGTCAAAAGTTAAGAGCATATTTTACCCAGGTGATATTCTCTCAAAATTTTCTTCCAAAAGCAGCCTTAATGTAGGTGTGCAGTACAGTATGTTCTTCTAATAATGACAGTGCTATTGTCATCCATCTATATTTCTGGTTCTTCTCTTTTTTCCAGACCGTCTACAAAGCCTGGCTCTGTTCCCAGTATTTTGAAGTCACACAGTTTCACTGCAGCAACAGAATTCCTTGCAAGCAATACTGTTTGGAAGTTCAAACGAGGTGTCCCTTTATATTACCAGACAATGATGATGTCATCTATGGAGGACTATCAAGTTTCATCTGTACAGGTATACTACAGAAAAAACAATTTAATTTGTTTTCATAAGTCTAAATGTCATGGATTTAGCTCTAACTCTGAGAGCCTGAAGGCATTCCACATCAGAAAGATTTCTTAGAGGTGCTATGATTTGACCTTGGATCTAGTAATGCATGGTTATGATACAGCCTGCCAGTCATCAGCTTTACAAAACAAAATTTCTAGAAAAAAAAATTATTCTGGTTATTTTTTACACTTCATTATTTCGTGGAGGATTTATTTTACTTCATGTCATGTAATACTCAGAATAAAAGGGTTGCATGTCATGCAATATTCAGAAAAAAAAAAAAAAAGAGAAAAGGTGGGTCCAATTTTTAGTATATTCACCTTTGTTTGCCTGCATCTTTATGCCAGATGAATCAAGAATCTGAAGCACAGCATTCAAAATTGTGCAGCAGCTTCTCAAAAAGTGTTTAAGAAAATATCTTTCAATAGTAAAGTCATTTAAGAATCAGTTGTTCACCTGTGAAAAACTTTGTTTGATTTTTATTTGTTTCCAATTGAAACTGGTTACATTTTATGAATATTTTTTAATTTTAGAAAGTATTGTTAATATATATCTCAGGTACCACAGATACATTTTCAGGAATAGATGGAAGTCATCCACACAAAATTTCAGCTTATACCAATTTTATCTTCAGACTTACGGTGCCTAGGCCATCATCTGAGAATCCTGAAGATATTCAGGCAACTTATTCCCAGTAAATTGATAAAAAAGAGTTTCAACACTTAGATCATTTGACACACTCATCCAAATATCAGAAATTAAACTATCTTCACCTCTAAATTAGGGCTCCACTAGAAATCTTGATAGTAAATAAGTTATCTAAGGTAAGTTACTTGAAAGCAGAGTCAATTATAAAAATCCATAAATTCTGTATACCATCTTAGATGCAGGCATAATGATCATGCCAACTCACCTCTAAATTAGGGCTCCACTGGAAATCTTGATAGTAAATAAGTTATCTAGGGTAAGCTACTTAAAAGCAGAGTCAATTACAAAAATCCATAAATGCTATATACCATCTTAGATGCAGGCATAAGGATCGTGCCAAGTCACTTCACCTTATACCCTGTGTTTAGATTTAAGGTGATTCTAGTAGCAAGGAATTTATTGGATTTTAATTTATTGGATTTTTTTCTTGGAAATTAAACTATTGCACACAATCAAGCAATATCCATCCATATGCAAAAGGAAATATAACAAAAAATATGCTTAGTTACAATTTTGAATCATCAATAAGGTGCTTAACACTTCAATGTATTTTTTTAATTAATAGCTTTCCAATATGCATATGCAGTAAGCAAATGAGCATTATTTTCCAGTTTAAAATAGTATAGTAGAAATGAGAGACTTAGGAAAAATTTTATTTACTGCAAGTACACAATCTATATGTACGTTCATGTATATGCATGCATACACACACACATACACAATGGCAAGAAACCAAACCAACAGCAAACAAAATTATCTTGGCATGTATTTCAGAAAATCTGTTAGGAAATACATATCCATCTCTTCATTTTCCTAGTATAATTTATAATCCAAATTCCTTCCTAAAACACACAGAATAGATGATTTTGAAAAGATTGCTGACATCTCTCAGTCTGGGATGAAAAAGAAGCTTTAGGGGAGGATCAAACTCATTTTGTTGCAGGTATTTTTAATGTGGGTATCTACAAATAAACTCTGTGACTAAGTTCTCCCTAGAATCATTGGTGTAGTCAGTAGAGCTGAGAGCCATTTAACTCACCCTGAGTAGGCACCTGCACCTGACAAGAGGACTTGCTGACATTGCTGGCTGTACTCTATTTGCTGTAGCTGCTGGTAGACACCAGGGTCTTACTGCAGACACTTAAAATCTGAGTGACCTTAATCTCATTTCAGATGTCCACTAACAAATATTTGATTAAACTTTTTGTCCTCTCAAGCCCAAACCCAGCAGCAGCAGAGTAGAGCTTGTATCCACAGCCATATGGGAGTCAGTATGCTGACCCTAGAGGGTTGCGTGCAAGGGAAAATATTGAGGACAGGTATGAGGCAGCAATTCAAACTCTGTCTGGAATACAGACCCATTTTCACCCTTATTAAGCAGCAGCTCACTGTAAGAGTGCTTCCTGTCACTAAACAATGAGAAATTAGACTATAATCTGCTGCAGGAATGAAGAATTATACCTCTCTGCAGCATAATGAAAACAGATTTATTTCATTCAAATACAGTGAGCTCAACAGCAGATAAAACACTCTATCCCAGCATAGCTTGTGATAGATAACTTGAAATACTTTTGAAGACAAAAACAGCTGAAAGAAGGTCACCCATGTCTTGAGGGACATCTCCTACTGCACTTTTTTTATGTTTCTGTCTGGCATAAACATGAAATTTCTAGTTATTGATCTGTCTCTTCATGAGAAAAACACGAAAGAGTAAGGTGAAAAGGTATTGTTATTTAATATTTAGATATCAAGTAACAAAAAAAAAGTGTACAAGGGATAGCTGATTTTATTTGGTGTTGACTACAGCCCAGAGCTCGGGACGAACACAAAAACATTACCTGTAATTTCCCAATAGCAGACAGATAGAGGTTAGTGTGGCTCCATACTCCACGCTGGGAGGTGCCCTGGCAGTAGGAGCTGTCACCTCCCCTTTCAATCCTGTCCTATCACAGCAGTAAGTCAGGACACAGAGATCTGCTGGAGATGAGGATGTGGCAGCACTGGTGGACAACAGGGAACACACAAATTAATTTTTTTTCTTTCAGGCCAGGATTTTTCTGGTGTTAGAGTCTGAAAATAAACCCTGGAGGCTGTAAAATGATATAATAACAAGGGCTTTACCCTTCCTTAGAAGGTTCTCATTATGAGAAAACAGCATAGAACTGGCTATTTTCCCCACTAAATACTTCAGTCATAGTTATATTTGTAATTAAATTAAAAAGAAAATAAATTGTGGTTTATAATATGGATTAATAACAAGTTATTGGAAATTGATAAAGACTTCCTATAGTAAGTAACAAGTATTCTAACCTGAGAATGTCTAACTTGATCACCTCCAAAGAAAGCCTATAATAGGAAAAGGAGAAAGCATGCTACCCTCATTTTGTATCACCAGAACTTGTCTTTCATAGAAATGCATATGAGGGTGTGGAACAACTGCAGTGCAAAAGAAAGTACTCAAGAGATTAATCAAAACAATCAGAATCACAGTGTGGTTCTGATTATGGAAATATGCAGTTAGGTAGAAAGAATTTAGTGTTCCCTTCTTGCCCACTTTCTTCCAGGACATAGAAGGAAAAAAGCTGATCCTTCTATCAGGTGCTGTGCTGTAACCTGCTGGTTTTCAGATTGATTAAAACTGAGTGATTACTTTCAGTTTAGACCTTTGGAGTTCATATCCATATGACTAAAGTTTCCAGTGGTTTTATCCAATATTCCTTTTTACTGCTCAGCTGTCTAGAACTGCCCATGCAAACCAGAATCTCATCTGAGGGAGATAACGATAGTTTTCAGGTGTACATACACACGCATGTAAAATAACAGTGAATTAGTCCCACGTGAAGTTTCAGGTCAAGGTTTTTAACTGTAACTTCTAAGAAAACAGTGTTCATACCAGCAGGATTGTTTTCTATTGTAAATGTAGTAATCTCTTCCTTAACTAAATGGGCTACAGTGCCATACTACCCTATGCCAACCATTAATGTACATTTGATCTACAAAATTGCACTAGAGCTAGAGTGAGGAAAAACCCCTTCAGAGGCATTTAGGGTTGACATGACATGGATACTCAGTATCAGCCGCTTCATTGTACAGATCTTCTCATATTCCCAAAACTACTTGTTAATACAGCCTGTTCTGACTTTTTGGAGAAACTGCTGTCCACGTGCCAAGTCTGGACCAGTTTAGAGTCCAGACTTAGGGCTAATTGTGTCCTCAGGGCTTTCTTTGAAATGACCATGACTTATGGTCCCTTTGTGCCCTGCAGCATAACAGGGCCATCACTCAGCCTCAAGTCTCAGACCAGAAATCCCAGCCACATACTCACACTCTTTATCTGTAAAATAGATGTCATGGCATTTAATGGAGAAGGAGAGTTCCTCTTCAAAGGAATGGAAGAGAATGTAGTGAGCAGCAATAAGCCAGAGATGTGTTGCATTAACTTCTTCCAAAAGTAGCATGACACTCTTTAATACTTCCTAAGAGCAGTGCCATCAGAATGAGTCTTCTGCCATCAAGAGGAGAATCAAATTTGTCTATTATCTTGTGTTAAACAGACTTCTGACACTTTTGAATCAGAAGGAGAGAGTAAATGGACAGAAGAGGTAAGTAGACAGGTGACTCAGGTGCTTTAAATCACTAATGTCTTTCAGTTCATATTAATTTAGACCCCTAATTTTATTTTTCTGATTAACATCTGAGTTTTTTGGAACACAGTGTGAATCAATTTTTTGGCAAACAACAGTAACATATGTTTATGTGATCCATGCAAAGTAACACTTCCATGGAAACTCCACCTCCTTTAGAGTAAAGAATTCACTGGAAATAACACTGTCAGCCATGCTTCATAGCACACAATAATGTTTCTAGAGACATAGTAAGAATTATTACAGAGAATTCTCATCAATCTGTAGAAGTTTGATGACTAGCAAAGCTCAGGAAAAGTATTAGGAGAAATTCTGTAAAATGCAGCTTCCTCTCATGGGGCAGATGTGTGACTGGGTTTCACCAACAGGTTTAGCTATAGTGTGTCTCTTTCAAAACAGATGCCCGGATTTCAGTGCAATTTGAAAAGCAATATCCTTGAGAAAATTTTATATATAAAAAGGAATACAATCTATCTATTTTGTAGAACAATTCAAGAAGAGAAAATCCCTCTGAATTCAATCTGCTTTATGTTGTTCTTGGCAAATTCATAAAACACATATATTTGATCCAAATTCTTCCTCTAAAAATATCTTATAATAATGTGTCATTTG